TACAGGATAGTTCTAGAAAGTAGAGGGCGTGAGAATAGTCACGTGATCTCGATGACGCAACATTACTTTAAAAAAAGCTATGGTAGAAGAGTTGAAAACAAAATATTGTCAGAAAAACAGCTAATACACTAAAAAACTAAAGTTAAAGCAGTCTTGAACTTAGAAAGAAAATTTCGTGGATTTTTCTATATATAAACAAGAATGTCAAGTTTAACAAACTAATTTCAATGAGAAAATCTATTAACTCAATACTCATCCACTATTCACTTCTCGCTCGCTAACTGAAAGCAAAACAAACTGACTATGCTACACTGATTCTCGATATTTTAATCTACTCTCGTCTCTCGATATTTCCTAAATATAATACATCTTTAGTGGCATCGGATTTAGAGTTTTCTAAGTATTCTCCCATAAGCATCATGCGCGCTCTAGTTAACATCTAAATTACAACATAAAAATATAGCGTATAATATATATATATATATATATATATATAGTTTATACTTAATCAGTTATTCAGAAGTGATGTACTGCTACGAGTCACGAAAACAATTTGTTTACTAAATTATTATTTGTATATGAAGGACAATCAAATAAAATGTTTAACTACTCTGTTAAAAATTGATTTGAATAAATTATAAATATAATTTATTTAAAGGTAAGCACAATGGGCTATCTGTGCTCTGCCCGTCACGGGCATCGAAACCCGGTTTCTAACGATGTACGTCTGTAGCTATACTGCTGTGTCATTGGGGGTCTATAAATATAAAGAACGTTGCCCAGTTCCTTATTTATTCTATTATTAGGCGAGTATGATTGTATTTTATTTAAATATAATTTTTATAGTAGCAATTATAAGACAGAAATTACTATAGAAGGATGTATTTGAATAACAAAATATCCGTTTTTGGGTAGCTAATAAAAGTTCTGTAACCATGAATAACCTTAATTTGTGTAAAGAAAGCTTTTCTCTAACTGTTGTCGGTGTACGTGACCTAGAGCACTGCCAACTAATCTAGTAAACGCCCTACCAAACTTACAATAAAATATTTCCATATGATATATTCTGTGAATAAAAGTCCAATACATAATAGAAGAAAGAAAGAAAAATCTCTCAAGCTTAGATCACGTGACATTTCAAGGCGTATCCCATCATCCTGTTGGGAGAAATATGAATTACGAAGATTGTACAGTTATACATTAAATTTCTAGTGTACCGTGTCAGTGAACATAATTATTATTACATATATGTCTACTCAGAATGTGATCTTAAGAATAAGATAATTTAGTAGTTAATATGAAAGCCAACAAACTCGGAACTTTTTCACTTTCAAGACAATGTATTAAGTTTGTGACTTATCCCACACTGTCTCATTCTCAGGAAGTAGCACGAGGTTACAACTTACAGTTACACTCATTTGACTTGTCGTGCTGCTTATATAAATAGCTCAGTATAGGCACGTGATTTGGTCAACAAAAATGTCGAAAGTTACAGAAGGACCTGACGTGCTTCGGATGTTAACCGATTTCATGTTTAATTCTGTTACGAATGTAACTAGTGACGTAGTATCACCAACAACTCATTCAGCAATCGACAAAACTCAATCGATGGAAAATTATACAGATTTTGATTTTTTGCCACCCAATTCTATTGGAGTGTGTGCAAATGGATGGCTTCCTCCAAACCATTTACTTTTCCAGTTGGCCAACACTTTCCTTTTCTTATCTTACATGGCACCAACAGGTATTCATGGGTTACTGTATCTCAGAGCTACGTTGATGTTGGCTTGTTTATTTTTCAGTTTGTGGGCTTGGCTTATATTGTGTGCGTTTGATACTTTTCTGTGGAATGCGATCTTTACTGTTCTTAATTTGGTACATGTATGTATCATCCTTTACATGCTCCGCCCTGTGAGGTTTACTCATGAAATTGAACTGTTGTACCAGGACCTTTTTAAACCACTCCATACCTCTCGTCGTCAATTTCAGAAAGCCTTAGCATGCATGAAAGAAATACAGACATTAAAAGCAAAGGAACCATATTGCTTGGAAAATGTTACTCATGTAGATAGACTGTCTTTAGTTTTGTCTGGCAGGTAAGTTACAAATATCTGTGTTTTCACATTAATTGTTCAAACTAAAACGTTGCATTTTCTTTGTTAGTTTGTTAATCTCACAAATGCCAAGAACAGCTACGCATTTTAGTAAAGGTGATTCTAACTGTAGGCTAAGGTTTTATATACAGTTATTTTTTCTCGTCCAGTCAAGTAAACTCGTCAGGAGATCAGAAAGTGAAGTTTTCTGGAGGCATAGTATAACATAACTACGATTGAATAACAAGGAATAATTTGGTCTTTTAAGGCTGTCCTTGCATATACATTACACACCCTTGAAAAAAGTAAATATTCAAACCCACACTTTATATCATTCAGGAAGTCACTTATTCAGTTTTTAAACTTGTAAAGTACTGACCTGTACTTACTATCAGTAGCAATTTATTACATAAACCAATCACATAGTTAGAAAGATAAATTGTTTTAAATGTGTCTTCAGAATAATGCACAAAGAAATTGGAGGCTTTTAATCTATCAGTATCCTAGATAATCATGTAAACTTCAATAAGAACACCTCATTTAATGCTGCCATGAACTGAAATAGTTTTTAATATATATATAAAAACAATTTAAAGTTTTTTGTAATTTTTATTATGTTATATAAATTCTTCCTAGAGCTGGCAGTTGAACTTTACTGGGTTCCTTCTGTAGACAAAAGCATTGTTATCGGTACATGTGGCTGAAGTTGTGTGAGTTGATAGATTAAAATTTTGGTTTTAGGTTGGGAAATATGCATTTTTAAGCATTCATTTGTATATGATACACTTCCACAGTTCAGAATTTTCCATAACTTGTATGGTTCTATGAGAATCTGCCTGCAGTGTTTTTCTAATAGTAGAAACAACTGTGAAAAAAAAAACTGCTTGTCCCACAGGCAAAGTATAATGCCACAAAATACATATTTTTATTGTTACCATTTTAAATTTGTTTTCTGTGTTTCATAATCCTTAACTTTCATGCTAGTGCCTTCATTTGCTTACAGATGACACTGGAGCACAGATGTGAAAAGGTATGAAAATGGATAAGTATTTCATAAAACATTTGTAGAGTGATTAGAATGAAAGGGTATGGTTTATGGCAAATCACTAGAGAAAAACATCTGGGACAGCAGTTGGAACACAGTAGGAAGTATTACTTCAAATATCATAACAGATTTTTCATTATTGTGGCTTTATCTTTAGGGAAGTGCTTCAAGCTAAGTTTCAGAATATAAAATTGCCTTTATCAGTATTGTTATTAGCATTTATTGTTGACAGTAATATGAAGAAATTGAGTACTGACATTACAAATTAACAGAAATTTAAGGAATATATGTGCAGTTTTTTTCCAATAATTTTTAAGTCATTTGCCAAATATTTTTCCAATTTGTCCAAATAAAATAAAAAAGCTAAATACTTGCTTGACTAATTAGTGGAGTGATAGTGTACACTTTGGGACCTAGGCAGGACAAAGTCATGATAACAGGGATGGAAATAATGAAATAAAATTACATTCACTTGAGGCAGATTACATTCCCTCATGTAAAATTGCATTTCCTCATGAATTGTTTTTTTTTATTTAAACCATGCAATGTGTACAATATGGTGATAACTAAAGGAATATAGATGGATGATGCATTCCTGGTTGGGAAAGCCAACTAAAAAGATGAAATTCCTCGGGAATGTAATATTTCGATCTCTTGATACCTGTTGGAGATCCACAGCAATTTTGACATGCTTACTAATATTTTACTTTCTTTTAAAGAGGTCACTGCTTGTATAGATGAAGGTAAAAAGAGTGGATTTCATATATTTGAATTTTCAGAAAACGTTTGATGAAGTCCACATGATAAGGCTTGTAGAAAAATTCTCTTTAGGTGTGGGAGACAACTTGTCTCAGTGGATTTAAAAAAGGGCTGGATGGAAGAAAGCAGAGGGTTATAAATGGAGTTCTGTCAGGCTGAGTTAGTGTCACAAGTGGGATATCTCGGGGCTCAGAATTAGGATGTTTGTTCTTTTAGATTTATGTCTGGAACATAAATGAAGGAATGGTCAATAAATTGCTTAAATTTGCTTTGGTGTTGCTATTTGTGAAGAGAATGCAACCACTTTACAAAAGGATTTACATTATTTTGTGACTTGAGCAAATAAATGGCAAATGGCTTTTAATTATAATCAATTCAAAGTAATGCATTTGGGGTATCACAATTTGAATTACAAGTATAATGTTGATGGGAATAACTTTAACAGTATTATGTAAGACAAGTATCTTGTTGTTTTGGTTAATCTCTTAATTAAGCCATCTAACTTCATTCTAAGCAATGTGATGTTGCAAATTGTAAGGCAAATAAGATTATAGGTTGTTTTTACAGAAACTTAAGCATTTTTGCCCATGTGCAAACAGCTCAAATACACAGTAAGTACTATAATTTCTTGTTTTTTTTATGCATATTTTTTTTTCTATATTGTATAAAAAAAACTAACTAAATGCTTAGCCTAATGAAACTTCAATAAAATGTCTAACGGTAAACTAGCTCAAGTGCCTGTGTGAAATATAATGCTAGATCACATTAATTACTATCCCAGTGGTACAAGATACTGTAGTAAAACCATAAATTTAAAAGAAGACAGATGTGAAAAGGTTAACAGCTGAAAGCGTTAAGTAATTTGGAACTTTCTGATCAATATTGTGCTCAATGGAGAGAAAAAAAAATGGTATTATTAATTTTATTTCCTATTCTAAACTTTTAATTATACTGTACATCATGGCTTCTCTACAGTTAGTGCTAGAACAGATAAAATATAGTTTTACTGAAAAAACGTTTGATGCTGATTTAGGAGGTTCTAGAAGTTATGCAAATGAAATATATTTAAAAAAAAAAGTACAATGAAAAAAAGTATTTTTATCCTTAGCATAAAAATCATCTTTCACTCAAACTCATTAAGGTAAATTAACACACAAATCTTTAGTAGAAATACTTTATTAAGAAAACTTATTTGTGTGTGTGTACAACAGACTGAATATTCACTAAAAACTTGCTAAATTTTATGAAGATACAAGTTGTAAATACAGTGACAGTTGTGTAGTTCCATATAGGTTTAACTCAATTATTGTCATGAAGATAATCAAAATATTGCCATTTTGATTTCTGATTATTACTTTTTATTAATCTGAGGCTATTATGCTTGATCTGTTTCACAATTCGTGAAAATAAACCACTAATTAAAATGTTTCAAATTATTCCAACTATTCAAGTAATCGAAGTGTTAGCTATTACTATTTCTGATACGCATGAGTTCTGCTTGTACAAATTCTAATGTGAAAGTGTGGTCTGGTAGCCATTGGTTGTATAATTAGTCACAGTGGTGCCTGTTGTTAGTGTGTACATTGTATGTGAAATAATAGTATAGCTTTAATAAATAAAGTTACATCAATTTAATATTCATTATTCTTTATTCACTCAAAAAAATTATGATTGCTGAATTACTTTCTCGTGTAACTGTCTGTCAGAAGTTACAAGGTATGGGCTAATGACAGTTAATATGTAATGCCATTAAGTCATGATCCTGTTTACTCAATCAAAACTCCTGTTTAATTTTTATATCTTTTCAACTGTTGTCTGAGGCTTATCACAGGTTCCCTGCTCAAATTTTGGAGGATCTTAGTCATTTATTGACTTCCACTTTGGTCAGGTTATAGGCTTCTGCTCTCTCCTTGGTATCTTGGTTGGTTTGTTGCTGGGATTCTTTGGAGAAAGATGCCTTACTGGAGGGAGTTTGCCTTTCTGCTTTGGCCTTTAGGGATCTAAGAAAAGCTTCTTTTCTCTCAGTCTTTTTTTTTGTGGGAATACCAGAATGCATAAAATCTCATGTAGATGTTGCCAATCTATGTTCTTCATTTTCTACACTGGCTTCCCAACTGTCCCAAAATTCTTATACAGGATGGTTTACTGCATCTATTGTTCATTTTCCAGACCTCCTGCTTTGTTGCCATGATCCACTGGAACACAAAGATGATTTCAACCTTACCAGTGGGGATCCTCCTAATGGGTGGAGCACAGATTTTGGCATCAGGATCTACCGTATGGGGTCTCATCTCAGAGGGTACATATCTGTATGGGAGATATTCCCCACAGATCAGTGGATCATTCAACTTCTCAGGAGGGGATTGGGCATACAGTTTACGTCTCCTCCTTCTCTGTCTCTCATACCTGTTGGCTTTCTACTTTCCAAAGACCCTCTTACATCTAACCATCAAACACAAGGCATCCAGGATCTTTTGCACAAGGAGGCTGTAGAGCTTGTCACCTCCTCTCCTGGGAGTTTTTATTCTCGGCTGTTGGTAGTACAGAAAAATACAGACGATTGGCAACCAGTCATTGGTCCTCCTAATCTCAGTCACTTGCTACAGCCTAGTCGGTTTACAATGGAGTCATTTCTTTCCATTCAATGGCCCTCTTTATTTGGACTATGGATGACAAAATTTGACATCATTGATACCTAACTTTGTATCCCAGTTGCTGAGTATTCAAGGTGTTATCTCCATTTCGTGCATGACAACCAGGTTTTTCAGTTTTGTGCTCTACCATTTGGCATTGCATTTGCTCTATACAAGTTTTTGCCAGACATTCACAGCTTTTTGCATCATCTTCACTCGCCCTTACATGGATGACTGGCTTCTTCTCGCCCCTTCCTGCCATTTGGCAGAACTTCACACTTGACCTCTGGTATCAGAAGCTGCGAGAGCTAGGTGTTTTTCCCTTCCAGACTCAACTGGGGCCAACCTTCTTGTCTACTCCTTCAGGCCATGGTACAGGCAGTTCTTCAAATACAGTCTTCTCCACCAGCATGCACAGTTTTATCTTTTTTGGAATGTGGGCATCCTCGGAATAACTCCTTCATTTAGGTCGGGCCCTACATTGGGAGTAGTGGAACATTTGTACAGATGCACTAGATTGTCCAGTGAGACTGTTGGATACCAGTGTGCTAGATCTCAGCTGGTGG